CTGATTATCAATAACTACGTGCAATTTAATAGTAGATATTCATAAAAGAGAGTTTCCAGAAAAAACTTTCCCAAGCGGTGGCATGCAGCTCTATTGGCTCGACGGGGGCCCGCCGCGAACCGCTGTCGCTGACTCACCGGGAAATACGGACGCTGCGGTCTCCCAACCCGGCAATTCAGCTACACATGTTCTTGGAACTTGAGTGACGTTTGAGTCCCAACAGAATTTGGCGGGACTCAAACACCCATCAATGACACCGCGATTGGGTGGAAGAAACCGCGTGACACGCGCCCGCCAATCGCAGAAAACGAAGCGGGGGAAAGCCACGTGACCCGCGAAGCCGCAAACGCAACCTCGGCCATTCCGATAAACAGTGTTGCCATATCGGCGGAATTCCCGCCGTTTTCAGCGGAATTTAACTCGTACGGCGGAAAAAAAAATCAGTTTCGCGAACAGTGGAATAAACGGCAGAAATTAATAAAGACGGTGGAAAATAAGCGGAATTTCAAATCTTCACTACTAAGGCCTGGGCACATAGCGTGTTCGAGCAGAAACATTTTAAAATAATAATAAAAGACAGACAATCCAGTCTACATAAGTGCGTTCTTTATTATTATTTTAAAATATTGGGGCTCGAATACGCCAATAACGACGGCTATGACCAAGAATAAGCAATTGTCCTTATCTATTTCATGCATTCATAAGCATTTGGCCTTTTCTATCATTATTTTCTAGTTTGTTTTAATAGAATAAATTAATACAATATTTAAATATGGAAAAATAATTTATTTTACGTTTAGCGGATTTAGGCGGGAAATTTAAAACCAGTTCAACGGCTTCCGGCGGAAACTGAAACGAACATGGCGGAATCCCTCTAAACACATCTGGTAACACTGCCGATAAGGGATGCGAGAAGAAGTGTCTTTCTGAGGTAGGGACGAGGGCGAGTAACTAATAAAGCGAGTGTCTTTGGCTTACGGGTGGACGCCAGTGGACGCATTACCGCATCGCCGCCGCCCGAAAGCATCATCGCCACATCGCGGGCCGGCTCTGAGGTCGCGAACTCAGGACGAACGCCACGGGCCATGACTGTGGGTGCCCGACCTCGAGCCCAGGAGTGACGACGGGCCGAGGTCTCTTTACTCTACGTAGAGTAAAGAGATTGTTAAGTAATGCTCGCGAAAACACGGCGAATTTTCGGCAGAAAAACTCTTTAGTACAGGGCTTCGACAACGACAATGTAGATAAATCCAGTTGCTAAATGCAGAAACAAAATCTCACACGTGGTGTAGTCAGAACCCATGTTATATGTGTCCTTGTTACCAAAAATTCGAATGATGGCAAAACTCTGTCAGTCCGTCTCTGAACAACGCCAGCGGCTACACCGTTCAGCCGATGTTCTCCAACAATTAAATTCCTCAATCTATCTATTTATCTACTTATCTATTTATCTACATATTTTAATTCTGGGGGTACTTTCCATGAAATTGGGACGTTTTACAAATTCCCAAAAAGAACTCCATCGTTTGTGATAAAAAATGGTTAAATAGTGTGAAGGGCATTTAAGGTAATAGTATAAATCTAATGTTTTTTGAAAATACTGATTTTTGGTAAATTGCAAAAGTTCAATATTTTTCTGACTCTTCCTACAACTAAAATATTAAAGATACAGATTTTCACCTTAATTAACTCTGTTCCTTAAAGATAGATTTTGAAATAAGATCGCGTGCAATTTTTCGAAAATGTGAGTGCTTTTCGTGTAATTTTGCGTGAAAATACTGGGGAGAAAGCATACGCGCTGTTTTATCACCACTAGTTAATTGACAGTTTCGTGAAAAATAAAAATTAACGGACTGAAAATTGTTTAGTGAGGAATTCCCCCCCCCCCCTTGTGGATCCGCTTCTGATCGCATGGACTGGCTGGTACAGATCTATGACGCCAATGGCACGGAATACCGAGTAAATGAAAAATCTAGATACATTCAAAAGAAATAATCTTTTAATTTCCTTGAGCGTTGACACACGACTTACACACCCAGAGAAAACGTCACTGATATCCACCAAAATTAGAAATACAAATAAGTTCTAATTGTAGACGAGTTATATGTCATCAAAACATTCGAGCTGAGTTACGTTAATTATTATATTAATTGATACTTAGAATAAAAGCCATGGCTGTAAACCTAATTAATGTTTTCTAAGCCAATTTTGCAATTCTTTAAATGTTGAAAAGGAAGAATCTGGCTGAAGTTTATTTACGGAGGAATCTACATGGCATACGTATTTCATTTGTTGAAATCTGTTGCCACCCAAAAATTTGTAAGTTTTCATAAGTCATTTTGCTAGCCGTAAGGCGATTGAGATGCAGTACGTCAATGACAATGAATTGGGTGAGATTAGAAGAAATTTTGAAACAATTTTAATTATTTTTTAACAATAATGTTTTGTACATGTTTTATGTAAATACCGATGGTCGAGGTCTCCGAGTTACTTTGGAAATTGTTGGACACACTGAAGAATTTGTTGGATAGACTGAATGATACTTGTTACATTTGGTTTTTTATTTCTTAGCGCGCGGGGCCTTGACTTCACGATGCAATATTCCACAGTATTTCGCGTCTTTCTCAGTCGTGCCGCCAGTTGTCGCATGATCGCGACCATATCGAGAAGTGCCGGCAATCATGCGACATCCAGCGACACTACCGAGAAAGACGTGCGCGCAAAATAAAAAACCCAAGCATAATTGCGGCTGCAGAGCAAAGCCTCGTCATGAACTTGGACACGCGTACCTAAGCTTCACTGCGCCTTAGAAGTAATTTAAGCAATTAAAGTTAATTTGTAAATACAACCGTTTATGCTCGGGGGTATTTATTGTAAATGGGGACAAAAAGCACCAACCACATGTTGGCTAAATCAATCCATACTTGACTTTTAAAATGCATTGTTAACAGGGTATATAGCAGTATGAAGCAAGTACGGGTAAAAATGATGCCCATTTCCAGCCAGTAAACTATATCTGAAAGTCCCGACAAATCTATTTAGAATTGCGGTTATACGCCTTCGCTCTCACAGATGATTTTAGAAAAATACTTTCTCCATTGTCAACTTCACGCAGCCCTCTCTAGAAGATATTTTGGTTTTGAGCGTTTCAGAGCAATTACGAGAGGGGAATTTATAATATAGGTAACATAACGATGAAAGAAACTCTATTTTCACAATTTCTCTTTAACAAATGCAGTACAACACGTCTAAACCGGATCCTGTACAAGCCGGAAACTTGCCTTAACCGGAAAATCTCTCCGGACTATGCAGTTAAAAGGCATTTTATAATGCATAAAACGGAATTTGTCCACCGCGGAAACGGAACGGTTTTTCATGTACTGCAGGGGAAAAACCTTTATAAAACGGAATATCTGCGAATTTAATGCAGTTGGCAGAAAGACGCGAGATACGAATACAAGACTTGTTTTCATTTCTGCCCCAGTGATGTGAGTTAGTCGTGGCCGTCGCGAAGTGAAGGCGTGAGGCGTATGAAGCCTTCAGCGTAGAATTCAACCTTGTGGTCGCTCGTCTCTCAAGGCGTAGGTCCTAGAGCAACGCTCTCTTAGCGTGGGAAGGTGCACAGAATGCAGCTAGTATTTACGCATCTACAGGCCCCGCCTTGACAATTGTAACTCCTCGGCAGGAGTCACATGGGTCAAGGCCATTGAGGGTATCAGGAAAACAGTACTCCGGGTTGTGACTCGTGCGTTGGGACAACGAGAAGCACGGGTGCAGCCACTAGACGGTGACGAGGTGTGTTTTATGAGTTTCACAACCACGTAAACAATGGTTGGAAAAAACCATAAATATTACAATTTTTCTACTTCAGAAAATATAATTGAAAAGGTATTAGTAAGAGGGGGAAAACCAAAAACCTGTAATGAATATTGGAAAAAATATTATTTTAGTGCACGTTGTGAAATTTTCCCTTATAATTATCAGAAATATGTTTAATATTCATTTATTGACAATTTCTTCCACAAATGTTGTATGTTAATATATTTTTATAATTATAACAAGTTATGTAATTTACTAGTTTCAGAACAGAAATACTTGTGTCATAAAATGAATCCCCCTCCATAAAATGGAAACCTCCTTAAACAGGAATAATTTTTTGTCCCAATTGATTCCGGTTTAGACAGATTTTACTGTGTACATTTTGTAATTTTATTCATTATTAATGCGAAAGTTTAATTTCATCCCATCATTTTTTATGGGTTTTCCCTAGTAACCAATTTGCTAGGCAATGCTATTCAGGATAAAAATGGTGAATTTCTTCTCATGTTTATTTTCACAGTGGTTTGCTTCAAAACTTGCAATATTAACTAACAACGAACACGTTTACTAGCTTTGCAACCAGTTTTGTATTTTTTTCTGCAAGTTTCACTTCTTTAGCCAATGCTCCTTTTCCAGTGAATTTTTTTGTGCAAGGGATAAATATAATTTTCAATCCCATCAATTCTTTAGTGATAAAAACCCCACAATTCAGCTTGTCTGGAGTGATCAACGGACATGTTTCCGGAGCCCAGTCATTCTATTATACTTTTAAAAAGAAACAGATTATCCCCATTTGTTCCAGCAAAATAATTCTGAAGAAGTTTTTTTATCATATCAATCATTTTCTTATCAGTGACAGAGAACTTGGTAGTTGGCCCGACATTCCTCCATTCTTTTCTTTGCTCTCTGGTTAACAATGATCTATGATCTAATGATTAAGTTTCATACAATACATCAGTAACTTGAAGAGTCTCAGATATTGAAAAAATTTACTTTTGTATTAAAACATCTACAGGACAATCATTAAAACGTCCAAACTTCTGAGGAACCACATTTTATATGGGTACAATGAACTCGATGTTTCAGGTGTTCATAAGGCTGCCATATTCATTAACTAATTTCAACTTTCAAGTATGCAGTCATAGGAAAAACTTGGGTGATTGGAAAAAGCAGAAGCTACATACATTCAACAGTCATTTATTTTTCATAAACAATTCAAATTTTTAAAAAAAAAATCCCATAATAAAACATTAAATATATAATAGTCACAAAATGAATTGATCATTGAACATTTCATGCACATCATGAGCTTTGAGAGAGAAAAACACCTCTATCTGCACAATCAGATGGTGTTAGGTTTTGTATCAATATGCTAATATGTGCATCACAACCACAGGCAAATGGAATGATTATACAAATTAGATAGGTACATAATTAAATGATCATAAAATGCTAATGAAATGCAAGGGGATTAAAATTCAAATGAAATACACTGAGAAAAGGAACTCATTAAAACCACACATTTCATGAACTCTTATCATTTTCAATTGTAAATTATTATCACAAAAATATTCATCTCCCTAAGTTTAACATTCCCACCTGAGCAAATAATACTACATATTAAATCACATATTTTCCCCATATTTTGTTCCCCAACTTTTGTTAGCTGTAATAACCCAATACAGCATTATTATTCCATTAAGTCAACGTCAACATAGAATGTACTAATTAAGTACATTGGCAGTGGCGAAAAATAATCAATTCTACAGATATCTTTTCTAACATGTACCTTATATACAAGAACATTGAGGCTGCTTATATGGAAGGAATCTTAAAACCACATTTCTCATGTATACAAAATATCCTTGAACACATTATGGTACAAACTAAGTCTTAATAAAAGTGAACACTTCAAATTATGGCATAGTAAAATTATAACTTTTCATTTAAAAGCACTTTTATAATAAATATGTCCCCATCACCACCCCAAATAAATGTAGCACTACAGTATTCTCTCATGAATTATGAAGAATGGCATCTGTATTCTTGCCACAGGAAACATATTTTGAGCAATAAGAGATTGCACGTTTGTCGTAACTTTTATAATGGTTAAAATTGTTATAAAATATTATTTTCTCCTTTTTATTGTCAGACCTCTCTTGGAGAATAAGCATCACAATTTTTTAAAATGTTAAAAAAGGAACATTAATATAATTCTCTTTATGGCACTTTCTTTTAACACATAAAATATATTCAAGTCTTGCTATATGAATTTGCATATTAAACACTTTACTTATGGAGTCTTACAAATAATAATGAACGCAACAAAATATTGAATGGTGCTACACCAATATTAGGTAGTCTATAAACATTTTCTGATCAGTTCACAATATTGTCCACAATTTTTAAAATGTGGTAAATAAAGCCAATTAATTATTTAAAAAAAAAAAAAAAAAATTAAAAAAAATCGTAATTTGTGAAGCTCATTAAAATTTTCAACAAATATTGCAGATAATTAGGCTCAACAGCAGCTTTAACATTCACCTTCAAGAAAAGGGTGCTGCAAAGCTTCCTCTGCAGAAATGCGAGTAACAGGATTCAGATCCAATAACTTCTGCAAAAGATCATAGGCAGCAAGAGGAAACTGACCAGCACGAGAAAGAGCAGCATCAGGCTGTAAGCAAAGACAACCATCGTATTCCACTTCTATACTATTTTCACATTTGGGGCAAATTGGCAGTGTATTAGTAGTATCTGGCAGTCCACTTGATCTCTCTTTTCTGCGTCTTCGCAATCGCTCACAAAGTTTGCGCAAATCCAATGGTGGTTTATCATGGCTGCACTGAACGGTTCGACCTATAAAAAGTGCCAAAAAAATACAGAGAAATTATTGTTGAGCACTAACACTTCAAGCAAGAGACATTACTTTAATAATGTATCCATTTAATAATTAATTAAATAATGAATCCATATTAACACTAACAATATGTATACATACAGTTAGTGTTGTGTCTATTGTCAGCAAATTTTAGCAAAACATCAATACAAGGTTTTCAATGTTGATGAAAACATCGACAAAAAAACACTGATGTTTTAAATATGATAAAACATGTCTCAGTAAAATGTCCTGGTTCTAATGTGATACATAACATGTCAATATTAGTTTTAAGTACATTCTACCTTAAATTTCTAATCAATATTCTATTGAATTGAAGTTCAAATTGCAGTTTAACTACATACAACTACAACAAAAAATAATAATAAAAAAAATAAATAAAAATAAAACACTAGAGAAAGGTTGCGAATAGCAAACTGTTTTGTGTCGCCTGGGGATTGACAACAGTGACAGTTTTCAATGACTGTTGACTGCGAGAAATCCACAAATAGAAGAGATACTGAAAACTTTAATTTAGATCATGTGGATTTTGTTTTTAATACATCAGTGTTTCTGGACAAATATATCAATCTCAAGAAAACATTTATTTTTCTACTTGAGATGTTTTTCCCCAACCCCTAGTTCCGTCATAAAACAGTGAAATTATTGTTGAGATGAAACACTTTAAGAAAACAACAATACTAATGTTATTAACAATAACAATAGTCGACTCTGGTTATAGTGAACTTGGATACAGTAAACTTAAATCACTGGTCCCGTTTCACTTACAATACAAATAAGCAAGATTCGGTTCAAGTGAACTTAGAACCACAGCTATACTAAACATAGGAAATACAATGTCCTAGAAATGAATTCCCTCCTGGAAAGAAAAGAAAATATATATAGCCTCAGTGCCACAAATTTCAATAGTAGGCAGATAGAAAGAAATATCGTCTAGCACAGAAGTCTCTCAGGAGGTGACAGAGGTAGCAGAACTGGAATGGTAGAGATATAGAGATAGAGTGTGTAATGATGAAATGTTTAATCCATTTAATAAAATTAACAACATAAAATAATTCAATTGATAATATTCGAATATTTCTAAAAAGAGGGAAAACACTATAATACATTTTTTTCCATAACTTACCAAGGCTTTTGGCAACTTCTTTAATACGATTTGAGCCAAAGACTGTCATTATCTCAGCTAACCCAGTAATATCATCTGGCGAACGAAAGAAAGGATAGCATCCACTAAGAATACACAACATTATTACTCCAGCAGCCCACATATCAACAGCTGTAAACATAACATACAAAACACAATTTTAGTAGGTGTGAAATACAGTCATTCAACATCACAAAGAATCTTATACTAAAAATGAATTGTGTCTTAATTTATGCAAATTATAAAAAAATACCTTAACTATTGATACCCAAAATAATGTATGTATGTATGTATGTATGTTACAACCAAAGTCCAAAACATATACTTAAAAAAAAAGAAACGAAAATACAATTACCAAAATCTTGTTTACTTGTATCTTTAAAAATATTTTAAGGGTTTGCAACATACAATAAATCATTAGCTTGTACTTGCTTTGAAGAGATGGCCAAGAGATAATTGAAGAATGGGAGAATATATGTAATACCCGAGGGAATGTGAGTGTGCCTCCTGACAATGAACATAACTTAACATTAAACATTCATTATTTACATGGGTTTGAAATGCACAGCTGTGTGAACTTGTTGCTCATCTTTCCCATGCGCTGATCCCACGAGTATGAATCAGTTTCCTTTACTATTCTTTAACATGTTAGTTATCTATACTAATATATTAAGACTGAAACGTGTTTATTTACAGCACGATAATCTCAGAATCATCTGAACCAATACCGATACCATCTGAAGCACAGTAGGCTATGAATTATAACCATTAACCTTAATATATTTACCAAATAATTACTTTTCTGAACATTTTTCACCTCGCTGTACATCACAAATTCAAAAGTGCATCAATGTCAAGTTCAGCAAGCTGTGCCCCACCAGAGGATTACATTTGAGATCTATTACTGATTTCATCAATGCACAGAACTGCATATTTAGAGCACTGTTTGCTTATTTTCACTGTCAATTTCCTAATCCGAAAAATTCTGAGTTTTTCCCACCTATTTACAAAAGTAATTTTAATTGCAAGTAGGCATTAAGTGCATAAAGTGTACTACAAGAGATGAAATGCTAGGAAGATCATTTTGCCTTGGATGTAGTAATTATTGTTGTAGTTAAAAAGTATGAATGCACACATCTAGTAGTAAATGAAGCATAATTATTATGTATTTACAAGTTGGGCGAGTAACAGCGAGGGCGAAAATACATTATGAACAATTTATGTGTTATGCTGAAGCTGACAGGTGGATGCATTTTTGTAAAGAAGTGTTTTAATATAGTTGGGAGTGAAAGTGTATCTTTGGGTGTTAAAGGAATGATTAAATTGATAAAAATTCAACAAGAATATAATTTTTAGTAAAACGGCAGTATAATTAAAGTAAACCAGTATTGGTACTTGGGTATTTGAAGGAATTTAATGGGTGACAAAGCTGGTTTAGATAACAGAAGAAGTTTTGTCAACCTGGGATTCACTTTGATCTCTGATTTTTGGAGATATAATTGTATAAGTAGTTAATGGCTCCTTTCTGTCAGCCACTAATTAATAAGGATCCTAAAACACGTACTCAAATTCAATTAAAATTTTAATTACTTTTAAATGTCAATTGATGTGGCAAAATCATCTTCAAACATTTCCTTATAAATATGTGAGAAGAAAAAAAATATGAAAAAGAGTAAGGGACTTATTTTTGAAGAACACATAACGTTTACATATTCGCATTGTCAATTTACAGTCGTCACTTAAGTGTTTGCTTAAGCATTCGGTTACTCTTATAAGTGAGCTTATCTGTACCCTTGTTTTTCAATGTGGAATAACGTCAATGATTTTTATGAGTTTTTGGAAATATTGAAATCACTATGGAAGATCGTATACCAAAATGATATTTGATAGACAAGGAAAATCCTTTAAATAATAAAATAAGTTAGCCCTCAGTTTGTAGAATCATTACAGAAGTATCTGCAGTAGCATCAAGAAATAATTAAAAGTTAATGAAATTCCCTTCATCTGTAGTAAAAATATTGTACACTAATAATTATACTTACTAATCAAACAAAATCATAAAAATTTTACCAAAAACAATCATCCACTCACCACTTAAAGCATTGCAGCAACGAAACGAAATTTATTTCTTTTTTGCTAACATATCTTTCGAAAAAAGATGCTATTCATACGCTTAAAAGAACCATCAAAATTGTAAACAAGATTGACACAGCCTTCTAAATTCCTATTTGGAAACCAATAAAGCAATATTTTTAAATATTATGTAGTTAAATATGGTCTGAGTGGGACTCTGAAACATTTGGGGTCTATGAATACAAAACTGTCATAAGGGCCCACTTATTATAAGTAAACTCTATATATGTGAGTGCATATATTTTATTTTAGATTTGTTTATTATTTTCAGTTATAAAGAGAAAGAAGTTTGGGGAACCCCAATAGGAATAAAAATTAAATATTTTTTAGTGAGAACATGTTCTAGTGACTATAGAAGATTGGGTATTTCAAGATTGGATGAAGGCAGAGAGAGGTGTGGTAGGACGGAGAAGATATTCCATAGAATAGATAGAAGTAGGCTCTGTCATAATGCAGGAATATATAGAATTCCTCTTTTTGTTTAATAAAAAATTATGATAAATACCACAGCGACGCAGGACTCTTCAGCTAGTATAACATAATTAGATAAAACTAATATAACTAAAACTGACCCAAACATTTAGACTAAAACAACATTCTGTAATATACAAACTTCTGGAGGAGTGTACATGAACAAAAACTGATGTATGATTTCCTTAACTTCCTCTCTGGTGTCCAAGACTTCTAATTCAAAAAATAATGTTTTTCTGTAGAAAATTTGTTTTTCTTTCCCACAATTACAATACTTTCTCTTTTTACAACATAAGGCTACAAATAAAACTGGCTAGATAGCCCTGCTCAGTATTCCACAACTATAAGAGACTTGTGTGACACACAGCAAGCAGAGTATTATTTATTAACCAATACTTTTTTTATGAAAGAGAACACTCCTTAGTAACATCACAAATTAATTTCAGTATATAATTTAAATTCAATAGACATAAAATACATTACATTAAATTTTCCATGACGTTCGTGGCTTTTGTCAATGACATACTTTTTCCATTCAGGTTCTTCAGAGGAGTCTTTCCACAGTGTCAGTTTTTAAGGAGGAAGAAGGGAAAAAACTAATGTTCTTCCTTCTTTTGAATGTACTTTCCACATAAAATATTTACTTTCATCTTAAGAATAGAACAAATACTATTTTTTAGTTGAGGAAACAATTTGTGATTTAAACACGATGCATTTTTAAGAGACGTGAAATTCCTCTGGGGAGGAACTACCAACTTTTCTCATAACTCATACTGCTCTTATAACCAGAAAAGGAAATGTTTATTACTGGAGCTGTTCAGCTTAAGATGGAACCTCCGTTGATATACTGCCTTCTATGGGCTCTGTCAACTACATCAATGCTTCAAGGGACTTTGACAGTCACATGCCATCAATAGCCAGAACACATCTTGTCATGGGTAGAGCAGCTGGCACTCACCGTAATCTCACAATATGGGCTAGGACTAGTGGAAACCTGTATGAACAGGTAAACGAAACAGAGATATCTTTCTTGCTCAATCCATTGAGAGTCAACACATGTAATCTAAATCATTGTAAATTTCATTTCAAGTAGTTTATGCAGTTGACATCTGCCGTTCCTCCTCTTAAAACAAGCCCATATGTAAAAGTCCAAGTGTACATAAAAGAATGCTTTTATATAGAGATCAGTTCTAAGAAGAGACCAGTTTGACAAGACATAAAACAACAGAACATAATTTTGGATGATGGCAATGTAAGAGGTAGTGTTGAAACAGTTTACAAATGAGCCAACAGCAAACAATAACTTTGACAAATTGAGTGCATGGATATAATCTGAAGTTTTCTGGTCAGAAGTAGCTAAACAGTAGCTATCATCAAAGGAGACCCTTCTTACAGTAATCTATCTGTAGTTGGCATCTGAGTCTTGCCAAAATGTTTGGAGATAAATCTCCAATATTTGGCTAATACTTCTGTATCGTGATTTCCAAACCCTGAAATTAAGCTTTGCCTTAAAATATACGATTCTACTTTGATTCACACTCATTACTAAAATGGACTGTTATATTTAACTGCTATTGAACTGAAATGTAGATCCAAAACATAGCTTGGCTGCACTTATCTTGCCCAAGTAGGAGGTCATATACTTTATATGATGTATCTTTTTTTCGTCAGTTAGCCCTTGGCAGAGATAGCATTGCCAAGGTTTACTTCACTTCCCATATGTGTACTACAGGATCTTTTGCAGATACTAGACTTGGTATCTGTACTTTGGATATTTTTCAATACAATATTTTTAATGACATCTCTTGATATTGTGCGTCATAAATGTGTGGCAGACGCACCTAGCTGGTATGATGTTCTATTCCCTCCCATTATTCATTCAGAGTTGGTTGCAACAAGGGAAGTTTACATCATTGGAAAAGCTGCTGCTATTGCATGTGGGGAGGACACCATGGCCAGTGTCATCATTGTCTCACACAAGGAAGTTTGTACAAATGTATTAATAATGTACAGCCAGCAACTAATAAAATCTTCACTATGGCTCTACCAAAAAGGTTGTAATTTTTACCTGTGGTTTGCATGGGATACTTGAGCAAAACTTCTGGTGGTCGAAATCCTGGAGTTCCAGCTCTAGGTGCAGGTATTGCTCGTTGTTTTAAACATGTATTGCATACTTGTGGCATACCCTTGCAAAAACATTTCAATTCTTTCAGTAACTGTGAATGTCTTTTATTCCTTGTATTTTGTCTGTTAAGCAACAACTTTCTTTGTTGCTCAGACTCAAGGGGACTTAATGGTTTGAGTGTTTGTGACTTCACCTAGGCAAATGCAATTACAAAACATTTAATAAGTGAACATTGAATGAATAAACTCTTAATGCATACATACATAAATATCTAAATGTAAAAAGAATTGAAGTAAAAGACTAAAAAAGTAGTAAATGTCAAAAAATAACCAGCACCAAAATAACAATTAAAAATAAATTGATCTAATCTGATAAACAATCTATCTTACTTGTGAATTTTGAACACGAACGATAGTAGAACCACTATTACTTCCATCTTTGGAAGGTTTGGGCACAAGAGTCTGAAACTTGTGTCTTGAACATTCACTTTCTTGGGTTGTTCCAACGGAAGTTTCTTGATCTGCGTTGGAACATGTCACAATAGATGGGCTTGAACCGGCTACATTCTGGTGTGGTGCTCTCCGCAATGGTAACGGAGAAGACACGTTGGATTGGATCTGTAATTTTGCTTCTGGACCCGACCCACTAATTTTGGGCAACTCATTTTCATTGTTCATAGGGAATAACTTCTTTCTAATACTAAGGTCTTTCTCAACCTATGAAACAAATATTGATTTGTAGCAAACAGATTTTATTTCCATCAGATGTTCAATATAGGATACACACATACCTTTGGTGAACTATATGGCAATTTAAAACTTTGTGCCAGAGATGTGGTCTGCTGATTCTGAAGTTTGGATGTCAGGGGTGCCCGTTTATTTTCAAATGTTGAAGCCTTTTGCTGTTGTAACTTATCAATCATTTTCTGCCCTCTTGCATAAGGATCATTTAATTTAAGGCGCTTGACTGGTTGAGAAATGCTATTACATCCCTGAACTGTATTTTCCTCCCTACTTCGCGGTTGCAAAACCATCCTTCTGGATTTGAGTTCAGTGCTTGAAGGTTTCCCTGAGGTCTGACAGTGTTTCCTTGTATTCTGAAAATAAAACATTTAACAATAGTAATCACTAACTCAATCACGCTTCTGGCCAACTTTCCATGCAAATATCTGAACAAATACCGAGTTAAATTAATTTGCTTGTACCACTACAGATGCATTTCTTTTCTCTCAAAAATACTGCTTGAATAGTCCAATAACAATAATTAATATAAAACTTCATCACTCTATTCATAATATTTCAAGGAAGATAATACACTCATATTTTGCAAAATTTGCAAGAAGACAAAGATATATGAAATGACCGGAGCATGTCTGTGGCAATTTTAGAGTTTTTGAACTTGAGATTTTTCAAGTCAGCCTAGAAAGATAATAAGTTTCCCCTTCTTCAGTCATGGTCCCTCCCTACCTCAGCAGAGTGATGCTTAATCACGGGCATGTCTTGACTATCAAAGACAATTCTGGAGAAGAGTAAGAATGGAAGGGAAACAAGGGCAATATATAGAGATGTGTGACTTGACAACTGTTCTACCCAAGAATGTTTTCACGTTATCACTTCAACAATTTGGTTAATATAAACATTTTTAAGATACAAGGACAGGGATGTGTTCAGAATATCACTTTTGCAAATGAGATATTAATCAAAATGGCTGCTCAAATCTCCCAGTAACTATCACATTTATCCGAATACAATACAACTCTAAATATAAGATGACCACCTAATTTCTTCTGTTCTCCATTGATTCACATTCTATAACAAGAGTGAATTTGAAAAAAGCATAATTTATACTTTTGTAAAGAGTTATGATCTGGAAATTTGTGTATCTCTATCCCTCCTTTTGCAGATGTGGGAAATGGCGGCAAGCTTCCAAAATTTAAAAAAATGTAAAAAGTTAATTTAAGTAATTTCTTCATTTTTGTCTCTGGTAAAATGTAGATTTGCTCTTGCAGGGCATCGGACCATGATTCCATGCAGCCTTATCAAACCCACATTGTGCAACAAAACCTTGACATTCGTTTTCATGTTTCACTTTTATTACACTACCATTTGTTTGAGATTCTCTCTTTACAAGTACATTCAAAATAACTGTCTAATTTGCCTATCAAATTCGCAGTGGGTCCTGAGAATACGATCATGAATTATGTATTGTAGATATGCGAGATATTTTTATTATCTTTGTACGTAACCAATATTTAGGAGTTTCGGGACATGGAATGGCAATTTAAAATCTTAAACCCTTACTGTCCAGGCTTAATATTCAAATATAAGATGACTTTGCATTTTTCGACAGAAATATTTAGGAAAATACCTCCTCTTATTTTCAGGTAAATACAGTATTGTCCGATTTTCTTTAGAATGGGATGATTTGACAGCTAGTGCTGGCAACACAACTGACTATTCTGTGGTCGTTGTGTCCTTGAACTTATTAGACGCTCCTTCCTCCATTCATTCGTTTGCAGTTGGCAAACTTGTAAATAATTACAACGCTCCCTGCTGTGATGTCCTCGTCCGACAAAAATATAGTGTGCCACGAGAAATAATTGAATTTAGGACGTGCAGAGCTTTTGTGCTCTTCAGTAAAAATTCTTTCTTTTTATAAAAATTACATTGAATTTAGTTTTTATGTGATAAGTATTTTGTTTGATTTAAAATCGAGTCTTGAATATGAGATGCGTACTCGTGCGGTGCACGTAAGGGAGCCGTAAACAAACGAAGGGGCGTAACTAAACAGCTGACGTGGCGGAGGGATACTTCTCTGAAGTACACCTGATGTTCACTTGTTTCGCGAACTGTCACTTTATCCCATTCTTAAGAAAATCGTTCTATACATAAGATTATTGTGAAACTTCCATACAACTGATTTCAATTTTCTTTTGTTATATTTTACATGACTATTTTCAGAGAAGGGAGACATTTTTTCAACACGCAGAACTGAAGGGAAATGAACTTGCAGATTTTTTTTCCTAACTAAATTTATTTCTAAAAAAGGCATTTTACCTCAATGCAATTATTCTCTTCTTGCCTCTTTCTCTTTTTAACTCTTTCATCTGCAGACCATTTAGCTTGAGGATGCACATTCTGTGATAATCCAAAATCTACAAGTAAGTATCTGGAAAAAATAGAAAATGAAAATACATTATAAAAACAAAGATAAGTCACATAATAAGAAATTAAAAGGAATATTTCTCTTCTTCTTGATTACCTTCTATTTTCTCTGTTATATAAAAAGTTACTAGGCTTAACATCTCGATGTATTACATTAAATGAATGAACTCTTCTTAAGGCTATCATTAAGTTACGCATATATTCGCGGGTTTCATCAACATCCATATCCAGAACATAATCCTGTGCAGAAGAAGTTCAATAAAAACTCTTTCTAGTTCACAATAAAAAATTCATAAATATAAAATCCTTTTGTACTTACGCTAAATCTTTTGTGAGAAAGATAAGGCATAATGAAAACAACGCAGTCACCGTTTCGAATACTTAAATCCACACCAATGACATTATCTTTTCCTCTGAAATAATTTTCAAAGACTTCAGTTATTATCCAACAAACAACAGAATTAACAAATTCCTCGCAGTTAAAAATTGATATTCACCCTATTTGATGCAGATATTTCAATTCTCTTGCAATACGTTTTGGGAGGAGAGTAGGAACTAAATGTTTGATGGCAAATCTTCGATCCTTCAAATCAGGGAATCTATGAATAATGTCCTCTTTCAGACTGCCCAAAAATACAGAACTGAATGTACCAACACCTATTTTCTTGTGAAGGTTGAAGTATTTTGCCAATTCTGGGAGATGTTCCAGCAAATATTGAATATGGTTTTGGGATCCTATTAAAAATAAAAGACACATCAATATACTATAATGCAGAAAAATGTCAGCAAGCTAAGTTCATTTAGATATTGACCAATTAATTGTGAAAAACTTCTAAAAGAAAAAGAAATCACTTCAAACGCAATAATTTAATGAAATTGATAGACAAATAAAAAAATACAATAAATCCTTATCCTTAATTGCACAAGAAATGAAAGTCCTTGAAAAGATTTTACTTACTTTCTGCTTCCTGTATTTTTGAAAGATTACTTTTCTTGACATTCTTCAGTTCTTTGTCATCTTCAGATGTAGGTGCATGACGATTGCTACAATTTCTATCATTTTCACTACCATCTGCAGTTTCTTCTACACCCCCATCAACTACAGATACGCACTGTGAAAGATACCCACTCGAGTTTTCCATTCCATCTGCTTTACCTTCACATTTTGGTTGGTATTCATTTCCATTACTAGGAGTATCAATATTTTGCATTACTTTTTCACTGTTACTTAGTGTTTCTTCAATTGCTACAGTTGACACTTCTTTCAAATCTTCAATATTATCTACATGAGCCTTGCAAACATTATCAAAATGTGAACATACTTCATGTCTCTGTTGATCTTTAACCTCTGTTTTTATATCATTAATAGTACAGTGTGTTTCAGTCATGCTCAAATTAGAGGTGGTCAATGTATTTTCCTGTCCAAGTACACAGTGTGATAATTTACTAGTTCCTTCACCCGATTCTGATAAATGTTTCTCACATTCCATTTCAACAATGCTTTTTTTAAATACACGGAAAGAATAGTCAATTGGAATATTATTTTGCATAAGTGAGGAAGGATCATATTGTTGCATTTCATTTCCATTTCCTCCAACACACATTGTATTTTCTTCATATTCTTGTTTGGTTTCTACAAATATTTTGCTGGTATTTTCACTTTCATTAACTACACGATTTGAATTTTCATTACCCAGATTTTCCTGTAATAACAAAATTACTGAAGTCAAAATATCTATTGAAAAAACTTACTAGAAAGAAACAATGCACCGGGAAAACTCAGCTGAAGAAAGCAACAACTAAGATCAAGAAATTCCTTAATTATAATGAAATATTTTGATAACATTTTTTAGTCAATGGGCAATTACAAATAGACTTCTATCTAAAATTGTAAACATTACATGTACATATTTTGAGTATAAGATTACATATTAATACTACATAACCTGTTTTAAAAGCATGGAAGGAGGCTAGAATAAATCATAAATTCAATAATATTTCTGTAGTAGAGATCAAAATAAAATAATTTAAATTGAAAACAGAGGTTCATATTAATCAGATAAATTTTCATTCTTCCTCTTCAAGCATTTAATACATATGCTCTATTTCAAAAGTCAACAATTCTGTTTCTGCATTAAAGGTAGAAATATTTATTTGCGAGAAATTGAATTTGGATTCACATAAAAAGGTAACTGGGCAAACACTGGAATACATATCAATCAAAATATGAAAACATACTTTAATCCATTATAAACATAGGCAGAAATAAGCTAGTACCTGGCAATTCTCTGGTCCTTGCAAAAGGCCAGAATCTTGAGATTGAAGTGAACACATCATTAAAGTTTCTTCCATCATAAACAATTCCTGCACACCTATTTAATTTAACAATCTAGCAGCCTGAGTTACTTCCTGCACCATTTCAATATACATTGATTACCTCTGGAAATTGAAGGTATATAATTATATAACATTCGAAAGTTCCCAACAAGCAGAAGCACAGTTTGAGAAATTTTTTTGGAAGTTCAGAAAAGTAGTCTTCAATATCACATTTTATCACACACAAAATTGAGTTCAAATCATTTAAACTATAGTTAAAAATTGTTAAAACCAATAGTTTAACTTACAGTTATAAAATATTTGTCATAAAATTCCTTCCATTTTCACTTTTTTCTACAAATTCGGCAAAACTTGAAATCGAAGTATTTACACCAAGCGCCAACACAGCCTACAATCAAACGGTAGGATTCAAATGCACACGTTTATACCGTTCCGAGCAGCCTGTATTACGTATTCGTGACGCGTTTCAGTTTATTCCAGAATATCAATAACGCGTCAAATTCATTGTAATGTGAAAATAAACATTACTTTGAACAATACTCAACATACCTTACACCAAATGCAATGCTTCGCGCGTATAGCGTTTCGTTACAAAAGCCGGTTAAACGCCGATTCTCCGCGCCTATCACTGCTTTCCTCCCGCCGCCGCGCGCAGCGCCACGCATTCAGGGTAAACATTCTCTTCATCCTCTTCCTGTTGGCGCGATGTCGAAACCACTATTTTGCAATCCCATTGTGTTGTGTTGGCAAAATTTTGTCATGCCTCATGGCGCTTAAGCATCTCAAAGTATCAGTAAAATCTTATTCATTAATGAAGAGTAAATATGTTTTGTTGATTACATGTTATATACGACAGTTGGAACAATATACTGCGAAAATACACCGAAATGAACAACAAAATTGTGGGAACAAACCAACTCAAACTAATTGACAACTCCTTGTATTCACGAAGATCACGTAGAAGAAATTTGAAAACATCGTTTTTTATCAAGAAAATGTGTAGTGGTGTGTAGGTTCTGTCATTTATTATACTCGCACGTTTTTTTGAGCCCTGAGTGACCTTACCGCAACTCCTTTACTAATGTTAGTTGAATTCAGAATAAATTAAGAAAAGGAGCGTTGTTGACATAATCTGATATCCACAAATGCTCGCTTCCGTGTAGAAATAGTCCTGTCGACAGAGGCCGATCCACACACACAAACTGCCTAAAGAAAAACGTTTGTTACCTTTTTTTATTTGCCAAAGTTAATTTAAATATTTATGTTAGAATTATGTGATTATTAAAAAATATTGTATCATATACACTATGTAAAAATACACAATATGTTAATTATTGAACGAAAATTCTATGATGCCCCCCCCCCCCATTCGGCTGGAACCGCCCCTGCCTGTCAACCAATTAATCTGCAAAAGTTAAACTAATCAGAATTTTCCCTCCTCCACGATGAGATACCAACTCATGTCCATGGAGTTTGCTTGCCATGCGTTTTACCGCTACACCTAGCAGTGACTCACAGACCAGCTTGGGTGGCTCAGGGCATCACTGCAGTGCGTCTGGTCTTGAGGTCCTAGGGATCGAGCCTCGACGGTGGAAGGATTTTCAACAGTACAAGGGTTGCTACAAAAGTTTTGAGATACACTACAACTAAGAAACAAGAAATAATTTCGATAACTTTATTATCTCTAAGTACTCGCTTCGACATTCTTTACATTTTTGCATTCTCTCACACGAATTTTAAAAACAGTTTTTCATCTCATTTTCCTCGAGTGCCAACAGTTCACATTTACATGCATCAACAGCTTCTCCAGGGCTTGAAAACTTCCTTCCTCACATGCGACTTTTGACTGTAGCGAACAGAAAATAATCACATGAGGTCAGGTCAGGACTGTAAGGAAGGTGTCATTAACTTCTCTGATGACACCAAAAACTGTATTGTGAGCAGTGTTGCCATATCGGCGGAATTCTCGCCGTTTTCAGCGGAATTTAACTCGTACGGCGAAAAAAAAATCAGTTTCGCGAACAGTGGAATAAACGGCGGAAATTAATAAAGACGGTGGAAAATAAGCGGAATTTCAAATCTTCACTACTAAGGCCTGGGCACATAGCGTGTTCGAGCAGAAACATTTTAAAATAATAATAAAAGACAGACAATCCAGTCTACATAAGTGCGTCCTTTATTATTATAAATAAATTATTATATTATAAAATATTGGGGCTCGAATACGCCAATAACGACGGCTATGACCAAGAATAAGCAATTGTCCTTATCTATTTCATGCATTCATAAGCATTTGTTCTTTTCTATCATTATTTTTAATCGTTTGTTTTAATAGAATGAATTAATACAATATTTAAATATGGAAAAATAATTTATTTTACGTTTAGCGGATTTAGGCGGGAAATTTAAAACCAATTCAGCGGATTTTCGGCGGAAACTGAAACGAACATGGCGGAATCCCTCTAAACACATCTGGTAACACTGATTGTGAGGTTGGTCGTGTGAGCAGTCGCATTGTCAGGACGATTCCCCGCAATCCTGCCTTTGATAGCTGTTTTCGAAACTCGGCGAAAATTTTGGCAGACATATTGTTGTGCACCACAGTGCAGGAACAGTTCTTTGTTCTTCCAGTGGAGCAGTTGAGACATGACCGCTCTGGAGAAGAATGTTGCAACCATTTTCTTTCCCGCGCTTAGACGCCACTTAACTTTTGGGGGTGGATGTTCGTCGGGAAAAATCCATACAGTAGACTAGCACTTATTTTCATGATCGAACTAATAAGTCCATGTTTCGTCAGCAGTAACTATGTCAGAAACGCACTTAAGCGTTGCCTCTTTCAAATCTTTTCAACTTTTCTTCACTTCATTCCACACGGATGCGCTTCTGTAATTCTGTCAAAGAGTGAAGCACCAATCGAGATCCAACATTCCTGACTCGAAGACATTAGACACTGCCAGCGATCCAATCTGTACGGACCCTTCAGTGTTCTTAAATGTTACACGATTGTTTTCGCGCACCAATTTTTCCACAGCGACGATGTTTTCTTCAGTCACTGCAGTCACCGCCCGCCCGCTCCTCTCCTCCTCGTCTTTCAACAAAGTTCTTCCTCTTCTGAATTCTTGAAGCCACTGAAAAATTGTTGCACAGAAAGGTGCAAGGTCCCCGAAGGCGCGTTGCAAAAGATCAAGGCTTTCAGATTAGTTTCAAGTCATTGAGAATCATTGCACGAAAGTGCTCTCTTGTCGGCTTCATTCTGACAACTGAATGACGTGTCAACAAAAAGGCAGGCCTCTTTGCAACAGCGATAAGCCAAGCAAGTTCCAACTTGCACGCATTACTCAGAAAGGACACTGCGATCGATTTCTTCTTGGAAAAGTAAGAGAGAGACGGAAGGAGACGGAGACAAACGTAGGAAAAAACGGAGGAAGATACGTAAGGAGAGACGGTGACAGAGAGACCAAGGGAGGAAGAGGAGAGAGTGACGGTAAGAGACGGAGAGAAAGACGGAAAGCGGCGGAGAGAGAGACAGAGAGTGGCGGTGAAAGATGGAGAGACAGAGAAACGGTGAGTGACAGTGAGAGGCGGGGTGATAAACGGAGAGGAAGGGACGGAGAGAAAAATGGAGAGAGGAGAAAGGGCCGAACAACGTGAGCCGGGTTGCGCTAGTAATACAGAAAAGCAAGAATAATTTCACAGAAGTGTGCTTTTATTACTTTGGAGTCACTTTCAATTTTTGATTACCGCAGTAAGTGATAAAATGTGTACTTGTTTAGTTCTACGTTAAATTTATTACATTTCTTGAATATATATCCTTTTTTAAGAATATTATCCACAGCATACAAGCATCACGACCAACAACAATAGGATGAATTCGAAGAATTTTGAAACCACTATGCTGCTATTTCGCGAAAAAGCACCGCATCTAAAGAAGTGCGCAAAATTCGAATTTACAATTAAGATTCTTTTTACAGTTTTCGAAAACACAGAGTGCAACGAAAATACTGTATGACCATCGCCACTATTTTTACAGTTCTTTGCTACATACGAGGAAAAAATTCAAAGATAAATTAGAACCCGTTTCTGAGAAAATAATTGTGTAAAATTTAAATCGGCAATGTTTGATGCAAAAGTACGCAAAAGAGTACTATGATTTTGAACAAAACCTCTTTTGAAAAATCTTTTCTTGATGAACACATTTCAATAACGAAAAAAAATAATAAAAAAAAGACCATTGTCAAGTGTCCTTCACGCCAACCGAGGTAAAAATTTAATAAAAAAATCTGGTGACACCTTTTGGAAAAATTGTATACGTTTCAAGGGTGCGACATTAGCCAGATCGATTGGGGATAATCAATTTTGGTAAATATCCTGAAAGCGGTTTAGTCAAGAGCGTTGTTCGCAGACGAACAGACGTTTTCCGTCAATCGATTTTTACTTTCCCGTATAGATACGTATATTTGGAGTAATGAACGTAGTATAGGGAAAGTTATGTAATGCTGCATTGAGGGGGAAAAAAAGTGGATTTTTTGCTGAAAAAAAAATTATTGCCGGGCCCTGATAAAGAAAAAGTGGATAACCAATTGACGACAAAAAGTATGTCCGTCACTCAGTCTGAACACCATTAGCATACTTTCCATTATGGATATTATTAATAATATATATATATATATATATATATATATATATATATATATATATATATTTATATTATTATTATTAATATCCCGGTCGATCTAGCTCCATTCGAGACGCCGCGATTTTGAAAAACTTTCTTCAAACTTTGAGGGCACTTTACATGAAGCCCCCCAAACACTTTCAACATTTTCTCAAAAACGACTCCAAATTTTTTCTTTAAATTTCTTGTAAGAATAAAGTAAAATACACATTAAGGTGGCATAGATAAGATTTCCACGGTTCACTTTGAATTTTCAAAAATTGCACAATTTTGTTTTTTTTTTTTTTGGCGTCTTCTTACAACTACAAAATTGAAAATAGAGATTTTCCCTTCCAAATAATTTTTTTCTCCATAGTTAGTTCTTTCATTATAGTCATGAACATTTTTTTGGAAAAATTCGCGCAATATTTGCAATTTAAAAAATAACAAACAAGGTTTTTCTCAAAAGCGGCTCCATTTCTACTATAGGGAAACCGAAAAATTAAGAAAGTTTTTAAAAAAATGTACTTTGGGCGGTACTAGATGTCAGCTACCAGGACAATGTGGCAAGCCCAAATAGGTAGCTCAGACGAAAAGAAATAGTAAACGAATACGGGAAAGTCTGTGCCATTCTGTAACACCACTACTTTCTCGCACTTACTAAAGTACAAAGAGAAAGTTGTATAATCGTGCGCCGGAAAACAGCGAATTTTCAATACTAAAGTTCTTATTGCCGTGCCCTGGTAGGGAAAAAGTGGATAAATCCAGTTGTTAAATAAAGAAAAAATTTCTCTAACACGCGGTGTAGCCAATATTCTTGTTTTGTGGATCCTTGATAACAAAAAATCGATTGACGGCAAAATATCTTTCTGTCCGTCCGTCTGCGGACAACGCTTGCGCATAAAACGTTCAGCCGATTTCTTTCCAAAATTGATAATCCCGAATCGTTTATAGCTGATGTCGCGGACCCTGGAATTTGAAACCGAATTTTTAATTTTAGGCGGTACCTTACATGAAGCCCATGAGACATTTTCAAAAAAATTGTTCCAAATTTTTTGATTAAATTTTATTGTTGAACAGTGTAAATGACATTTAAGAGAATGGTTTAGATCTCATTTTCGTTGACATCCCCGATTTTTCGAAAATTGAAAAACAATTAAAACTTTACAATTAGAGAAAGATATTTTTGTTTCAGACAGTCTGTTGTACAAAATTAGCTCTTCAAAGAAGGTCATGTACATTTTTTTTTAAGAAATTTTTTTTTAGTAATTTGCGATTTAAATTTACAAAAAAATGTCAAAACTGTTCCAAACGTTTTCTTTAAATTTTCTTCACTTGTATAATTAGAGACGATAAAAATATGGTCCTAGTCATATTTTCGGGAATAACTTTTTTGCTTTTTGAAAACGGAAAAACATTTTAAAACTATAAAATCATAAGTATGTAGACTTTTGCCTCAGACACAGTGTTGTACAAAATTAGCTCTTCAAGAAAGGTCATGCATAATTGTTTGAAAAAAAAGAATAGTTTTTGGATTATTTCTTATTGAAATGAATGAAATATTTATAGTAGGTTTCACACCAACTACGGTCCTCGAGAAAAATTGAAAGAACGATAAGAAAAATAATTAGTTTAATTTTAATTATAATTTCCTATTGAAAATGCTACTATTAATTATACCAGGGTTGCCTTTTATATTTCAGGATTGGGGAACAAAAACAAATATTAATCATCGAAAATCACTTTATTGTTTTTCAAAATATTCCCCCATGAAGATCTATAAACTTTTGCATGCGTTCAAACCAATTGTCGAAGCACTTTTGCCATTCTGATTGAGGTATCTCCAAAACATGCATTCTGAATACAGCAAGCGCTTCTTCAGGTGTCGAAAAACGTTGACCTCTCAGTTTGTTTTTTTACGTACGGGAATAAAAAGAAGTCATTCGATGCCAAGTCAGGACTATACGGCGGATACTCATCAAATCGATATTTTGAGTGCTCAAAAATGCAGTTTGATCCTATGTGTGAGAGCTCGCATTGCGGTGAAGAGTGATCAGTCTTCGGCGGTTGGTTTTCCTAATTTGTTGGAAGACAGCTGGCAAACAAATCGTTGTGTACCACTCAGAATTGACTGTTCTGCGTTGTTCTAGTGGTACGGTTCTGTCCAGTTTTTCCGAAAAAACAGGCGACCATCTGTTTGGAAGTGCTTCGTGCGCGAACAACTTTTGTTGGATTTCGCTCATCTTGAAACACCCATAAAGTCGACTGCTATTTACTTTCGGGCTCATACGCGTAAATCCTCTATTCATCACCTGTCACGATGTTATAGACGTGTTTCGAAGCACCGCGATCGTATTTTTTGAGCATTTCTTTCGACCAATCGACACGAGCCTTTTTTTGAGCGATTAACAAATTGTGTGGGATCCAACGCGAACAAATCACATTGACAGTCAAATGTTCATGCAATATTAAATGTGTGCTGGTCCCACTAATGCCTAAGGTTGTCTCAATCCCACGATAGGTCACATGACTATCTTGCAATATCAATTCACGCACAGCATCAATGGTTTTCGGAAAAACTGATTTTGGACGACCTTCGCGAAATTCGTCATGGAGTGAACAACGACCACAATTGAATTCACCATATCATCGATAAACACTGGTCCTTGATGGAGCTTTATCGCCCAAAATTGTATTAAGTTCATCCATGCACTGGTGCCGAGTTACTCCACGTTGAAAGTTGTAAAAAATAATCGCACGAAAATGTTCACGATTTAATTCCATTTTTGGACCAAGATGAATCTTTTAAGTTACTGTAAACAACACAAATAGCGCTCGTCAAAACGTCCTGAGTACGTATAACCTCAAAACATCCAACTACGATAGAGTTGTCAGTTGCCAGATTGCAACACCAGGGTTGCCAAATCCCGAAACATACGAGGCAACCCTCGTATGCTTACTTTCTTACACTTTTACTTTACTTAATTCTACAATTTGTATTCTCAATGTATTGATGTACAATGTACGTTATAGCGAGCTTTCTGCTTTAGTGCTCTCCAGGGCATCTATAACTGTTTAATTTCTTACAGAATTATGAAGAGACTAACTACGGTTTGTTTGGTTATAAGCCTTCATTTAAAATTAAATAAAACATTTAAGACAAAAACTTAAAATATAGAAGAATCCGCCTAAGAATGAGAAAAATGACAGTTCGCTAAACAAGGGAACATTACATGAAATTCAGAGAAGTGTCCCTCCACCGCGACAGCTGTTCGGCCACGCCACTTCGTAAAACTTGCCCCAGGCCCCCACATAAGTGGAATCCCAATAATTTATACAAAACTTATTTCCTTAACATTTTTTTGAAGAAACAAAATTAATAGTTGAAATATGATTCATTCTAAAATATATTAATAATTAATGATTAATAATAATGATAATAAATAAGGGGAACTTTCGTTGGAAATAAGGACACCCCATGAATCTCCTGTCCGAAGCCTCAGGGGATTTTCCTTGGGAGTGACTGCCTAGAGCTGTAATTTCTGCAAGAGGCTCTAGTAGATTCCTTAGCTCCCAATATATGGAACCAAGGAAGTGGGTGGGGCAAACCAAAAAAGTAAGCATGAGTCACATAACAGGAGAACTAGTACAAGTAAGTTTATGCCATTTTCTAGCACAACTAGTGGCTTATGAAAGTAATCCTGTCAACCCTAAACAAAACATGTGCCACCAAATGTATATGAAAGGATTAATGAATGTTTTATGCAATTTCTATTAATGCAGATACAACTGCCACAAATTATATGCTACTACACATGTCATAGAAATCATGTTCACCAAGTGTCAGTATCAACAGCTCACTACCAGAAATCCACATACAATTATGTTACAACGCATTGCCAGATGACGACATTACGCAATTGAAGTTGGTACAGAAATTTAAGTTCAAAGTAAAATATTTTCTGCTGAATAACTGTGTCTATAGTTCGAGGCTATATTGATCATGAATCAAAAAGAAAAATGTTTATTTTAACAAAATAGTGATATAATGAATTAGTTTACATTTGTACTGTATAATTTTTTCAGTTTCTGGGTCAATGATCCCCATTTCGATCAGGTTTTTGTCCAGTTTCCCTAATTCATTGAACAAATGCTGAGATGCCCCCTTGTTTTACTTCTGGACGTAAATGTAGCTTCACTAACACATTTTGTATAACTCTCCTTTTGCTTCTAGTGGTAGGAGTAGAGGTAAGGGCGAGTTACTATTTTCTTAGTAATGCAGAAAAATCAAATCTGCAGTTTGTTTACCGTTGCCTAGGTTTTCTATAACTCGTTGCAAAGAAGTTTTCTATAGTTTTTCAAATGTTGCTAATCTCGCACATTTTTAAATTTTATTTATATTTATTTATCATAAACTTTTACTCATCTTTCAACTATTTATAGTTAAAATGATGGGAAGGGATTCTGGAACTCAAGAAATCGTGCACGTATGACCTTCTCCCCCATACGTCACATATAGTTTTTACCATTCTTTTTTACTAAATAAATCTAAATCTATATACAGTTGTTAAATGTAAAGGATGCCAGAAAATCAAAGGAAGGATACAAAGTCTGTAAATAATTAACAACAAATACAAATTAATATTTATTATTTAAGTGCATTAATGTTCATACCATTTAAAAAATATTTCAAAAATATAAAATAAATCATGAAGACTGTCATTAATATCGTATATTATTCCTCACTACATGATACTCAAAAGAAACAGACAATACTGTTTTGTATGAAGACAAGCAATGGAATTCTTTTTGAAAGAATGACAATAAAATTATAAATTACACAAGTGTTCCAAAATAAATAACATTGTCAGTGATTTAAGTGAAGCTCACACTCAAAATTCAGTGTGTGACCTGTGAAAGTTGTTGAAATGTCTCCGTTCTATTGCAGCAGCAACTTTGTTTGCTATACGTTTACAACCACCATTTGAGAAAATTGGATTTTCTTCTGGACCAAAAGACAAATCTTCAATAATAGCACTATGAAAGAAAAAGAAGAAAAAAAAAATTATTACACAATCTTATGACTAGAATTAAAAATAAAGGTACTTGTGTACCTACTGAGTGATTCCCATACTGTGTCCCAGTACCAACCTCATGGATTGTAGAAGTGAAGTGTGGATTAATTTAGACAAAAGAACAGGACTAGTATATATTTGTAAGCATGAATAAGTTCCCCAAAGCAGATTACCGTCTTATTTATAACCTCAAACAAGCAAGGCTATTAGACACTTCTCCAAGCAGGTCCATTTTAATGACGGAGCGCCAACCTTGAGTCTACTCAATTAACAAAAAACATATTCCAAGTCTGTTCAACACATTTTATTCCAAAGTAGCTACATTTTTGCTAAATACTCAACCCTTCGCTATGTGACACTAAGTTACATTTCACACTTCACTATGTGGGTCAAGAATTCATGAAGTAACTCCAAGACTACAGGGCACATGATTAATGAAAAACATCCCTGAACCTCAATGAACTTCAGGCTGCATAACTGACACTAAACATTACTAGGCACAAGTCTTTGTTGATGACACCACACAACACATCTCATTTTATTTCCCATAATATTTACTAAGTTCTCCCATACACAGTGTTGTGCTGCATTTCAATGGCCAAGGGTTGGCAAAATAAATTATGAAAACACAATTGTTATGTTGGCAACGAAAATTATAAAAGTGAAATACAAATGCTGTGCATAGTCCAAGTGAGGAAACAACACCTCTATAAAATGCAGAGTATAGAATATAATGATGAAACTACAAATCCAGATATCATCAGTTAGTATTATTTTATTTGAACAGAGATTTTTTTACTGTCATAAAATATGTGTACAATGACTCACTTTATTATATTGACATTCGGAGATGCAGATCTTTTCCTAAATTCATCAGCAATGCACTGTCGAACATGTTTTTCTTCTAAAGGTAAGAATGGTACGTAATGGTCTATTAGGCTGCTTTCAATTGTCTCACTTTTGTAGAAACCACCTAAGGCACACAATATTCATGCATCACGAAAAGTGTCATTAAACTATGTAAGAATGATATTAAAAGCCCTACCTATTTCATTGAAAGCTCCAATTCTGATTAAATCTTCAAAATGTGCCAGATGAAGCTGCTCTCTTTTTTTTCCACTTCGCCAATACTTCAAATACTGTTTTGCTATCAAGTCACCGCCAGTATTAGAAATAAAGATGAAGATTGCTTTTCTGAAACACGTGGGCAGTGAGACAATGAATTCAGAGTAGTGAATACTACATTTTCAGGATAAAATATTTAAGGCAAATAAATTATACAACCACAAAGAATGAATCTTTATCCACACTGCATTATTTAAAAAAAAAGAAAAAAAAGTTCTCTTTTAATATAATTAAGTAAAATGAGTTTAATATAATTAATTGATTATGTTTAATAAACCGTTTAATGAATTACTTTTTATTTTCAAAACCTCAAAAATTAATTAGGCTTTGAAAACTTGGAAGACAAGCAAGCGTAGCTCTCGTCTTCCAAGGCATTTAAAAAGTTAAATTTTTGCTACAATTTAAATAATCAGCATCAACCTGTAAATTCAAAATTCTTGTTTTAATTTACTACACAGCTTCACTAAGAACAGGAACTGCCCAAAATACTATAAGTCACAGTTAAATCACCATTTTATTAATTTATTCCCCAAACATCCTTGATACAAAAATAATTAATTGTTATAACTAGTGTATTAATTAAATATAAGCATTCTATGGAAACCGATACCACTTTCCCCAGAAAAGTCACAGATAACAATGAAACAATTATGGCAAAATGTGTTATAGTTGAGAATCTTATAGCAAGTCATAACTCCAAAAATACAATACCTATAATCTATTCCCTCTATTTTGGTATGATAATCAAGAAAAGGAGTTACAGCATCTAACACTCCAGGAGGCATCTTGTCTACTTCATCAAATATGAATAAGGAATATTCACATTTTGAGACATTTCCTTTAATCCACTGGGATAAATGAATCTGCAAAATATAATTTTATTAATTATTATTAATTAATTAAATAATCATTTAATTAATTAATAATATATTAATAATCTAATATATTATATAATTATTATTAATTATATATTAATATAATTATTATAATTAAATATAATTTTATTAAAAATTTTGCTAGATTAACTTAAAATATTAGAGATTTTGCAAAAGTTTGTAGGGATATTATTTTACTTTCTTGCTACTGCTTACGCGGTAGAAAGAAAGTTATGTAATGCTGCGCGAAAAACGGCGATTTACCGGCAGAAAAACTTATTACAGTGTCCTAAAAAAAATAAAAAGAAAGATAAATCCAGATGCTGAATTTAGAAGAAAAAAAAAACAACCTCTAACATGTGGTGTAGCCACAATCCATGTTTTGTGGGTCCTCGATACCGAAAAATCGATAGATGGCAAAACGTCGTCCTTTCGTCCGGCTGTCTGCACACACAACGCTACCGGATAAACTGTTCAGAGGATTTTCTCCAAAATTGATATTCTCCCATCAATCTGGCTGATTTCGTGACTCCTTGAATTTTGGAAACATTTTAATTTTTGGGAGTACTTTACATGAAGCCCCTGGGACAGTAATTAAAAATGTTAGAGCCTTTTTTGAAACTTAGTTATTGGATAGTGTTGAGGACGTTTAAAAGAATGGCGCAGGTGTCAAGTTCGTTAAAACCCCTGATTTTTCGAAAATTCAATTTTTTGCGGCGTCTTCCCCTACAACTATGAAGATAATTTTTTTTTTTTCTTAACGAAATGTGTTCATCAAAAATATCCTTCCTTCCTTCCATCCTTCAAATAATGTCATGTTAAAGTTTACGAAAATACGAGTATCTTTTTGCAAAATTTTGTGTCAAACAGGCAATTTTTATTTTCTTCAAAGCGTTTTTTCTAAAAAAAAAAAACAAAAAAAAACCGGCACATTCTTTTATTGTATCGCTCGGACGCCGAATTTTACAGTATGCGGTTCAGAGTGTACATCACTCGGAAGAAAAAAGATTCGTCGGAGTTGCCATCCCGGAAGATAATAATGGTTTCATTGGTTTAGTTTATATGTAGCATACAGGATAGCGCAAATAGACACGCCATTTTCGAAGAATAATTTAGACTACAAAATAACAAATCTAGAATCGATCGGTGTGTTGTAAAACAGGAGCTTGTAAATATTCAAATTTTCTTTAATAATCCGCCTTACAATACATTGAATAAATAAACCAGTGTTGTGCAACTGCCGGTCCACAGTGCCATTTATTATGGTCCCCGAAATATTACAACTGCACATGTGAAAGTCCCTTGCCTCCATGTCGGGCGAGAACATTGCCCGCCTAGCACACTCCCAGGCGGAGTCAACATTCCCTTAATCAATGCAACTAGCGGTGCTAAAAGAGCACGTACTTTGTCACCATTAGTAATGGGTATGTAATATAATTTCTCTACGACCATTTAATAATATTCCTGCTGAATATTTAATCGACAAATTCCATCGATTACACACCCCGTGGATTCCTAAAATTTTCGGAATTTGCGGGCAGAATTGCATTCTGTTTGCAATACAGTTTTTAAATAATCTCAGTGCGCGGGAGGACCAAAAGGATAATCGGCCAAAATGGGAATATGGGACAAGGAGAGAAAATAGGCGAGACAAACCGGGACAAGGTAACAAAGCGGGATAGGGGGACAAAATGACACACTTTAACAAGTGGCACAAGATTGACGCCGAGACAAGGACAAAATGAACCAAGGGGGCAAACCAAAAAGGGGACAAGTGGGACCAATGGAACACGGGGAAAATGGACGAAATGGGACGAAAGGAACATATTTATCCAAAGATTTATGATCGGTGGTAAAATCTAAACTCAACGAGTCCGCTAAACTATTTTTCATGGAACTCGAACATGTTTAGGGCCGTTAAGCTACGGACGCTTAAAGCGTGGTTGGCGAAGGAGCTAAGCGCGTGTTTGCCAACGGAAGTAAGAAAAAGCATGTTCAAAATCTATTCTCAAAATTTCGAGGTCGTAGAGAAACTATAGTCTTCTACTCGCGGATAATAACTATTATTCACTGGTAGCAGCGCCGGATTTACCTACAAGCAAAACCAGCAGTTGCTTGGGGCCCCCCATTCACCAGGGGCTCCGCGTTTCGGAAAAATACGCATACCATATTTTTTTGTCTGTGAAATAATTGTTAATCAAGTAGTCTACTGTGTAACAAAATGTACAATTTCAAAACATTTTTTAAAAATGTTTATTACGTGTTAAATTAGTCTAATATTAACTAAACTTTATTTCCTTTACCTATAACTGAATATGTAAATTTTCTTGTAATTATGTACATATTTAATGTGAAAAAAATGTAACACATGTAAACATTTCTATAAAAAATTATCAGTTTTCATTTGTATCTGTACAGAAAGTACTTGTACTATTAATACATTTTTTAATTTAATAAAGATGGATGCTATTTTTTTCGGGGCGCGGGGGGGGGGCACACAATTTTGTGCTTGGGGCCCCGCACTACTTAAATCCGGCCCTGACTGGTAGAAATTACGATAGTGGCTCCTACGTAGCTTGTGTCAAACATCAACTCGTGAATAATCAATTTGCGCTCGTTGAAGAATATACTATTATACCACATTGGCACAACTCAGTCAATTTTTTGTACAACTTATTTGAAACATTTGTTGCGAAAAATAGTTTTAGGTAAGGTTTATTCAAAACTTTAAATGAAAATAGTATATTTCTGGCATTGAATTTGCTTCGTATGCAGTGTAATCCCAAACATGATCTGATGAGTTTGTTTCCCCCTTGCAATATTCTTCGAAAGCAGTACGAAGAAGTAATATTTAAAAGTTAATAAAATACGATACTGATAGCGTTGGCAGACATCGAAAAATATATAACAGTAATTATTAAACACAATGATATTGTAATATTCTACAAATATAGAAAAGTATTTTAACTTCAAATGTAACTTGAAATTAACTTCTTCCCATAGGACGTCACACAGTTTTTAACTGTTTTGAGTTAAATTAATAAACAATATTACCGCGATCGTCTTCTGTTATCAGTGCGGCGGTACAACAATGACTGCTCATCTATTCCTTTTCACATTAAACAATGTAATATATTTATATTGTCATTAGAAAATATAAATATAATAAACAATTACAAAAAAAATATACAAATTCTAACTTGCGTAGCATTCAACTGAAAATTGGGAGCGGGCGACTGAAGGCTAGCAATCTTTATTTCATATTTATTTAAAATAATTTCTAAAATATTAATTTGTAATTGTATAACAAAAACTCCTATGTAAGAAACGAACGAATAAATAAATTATATACACTTTCCAACTTGCGTAACATCCAACTACTTTATAACACCTAACATTGCGATTATGAAGCAGTGGATTTTCAGAGCGGGAAACTATTTTTGACGCCCAATTACTCAAAAAAACACTTATTTTTTTCGAAAAATTCAACATGACATTGTTTTGATTAACATTTCATTAGGGAAAAAATGTATCTTCAAAATTTAGAGCAAGCCAAATGTTAGAATTTTTTCAATTTTCGAAAAATCAGTTTTAAATAGGGTTGCCACCTCTCTGGTTTTAGACCGGAGACTCCGGTTTTTACACTTCATCTCCGGTCTCCGGTTTTTGAAAAATTATCTCCGTTTTTTTATTTCAATACATTTTCAAATTTTTTACAAAATAAATAGATTTTTCAACTTAAAATATAAAGCTTTTTCTATTTCATCAGAAATCTGTCATTTCCTTCTTCATTAGAAAGATAAAGAGCAGAACATGAAAATTTGTCCTGCGATTCTCGTATTATCGCCATCCGCTGTCTCTTTCTTTCTACGCATATCAGACAGAGACAGCATCTAGCGATTATGCAAGAATCGCTTCGCGCAACAGTTTCAAGAATAATCCCCCGGGAATGCTATTCGATATCTTCATTTTAAACAAGATCGAATTTTCGTTCGTTTTTTCTTAGAAAATTATTTCATGGAAACATTGAGATAAAGGTACATTTGTGATTCGTGGAACTGCACGTCATGTATAACTTGTGCGAAAACTAAGAAAACTGTTTTGAATGATTGAAAACACACACACACACACACACACATGCACACACAACACACACCTGGTGTGGTTGGGCCGTGGTTTTTGTAGAATAGGCCGCCACGGAGCCCTCCGCCTGTCGTAAAAGCGAACTAAAGGAGCAGCTGTCCGCGCTGTCTTTCCCCTAATATCCTTACTTTCCCACCAGTTTTCCTCCCATCGCCCACAAGATCCAATAGGTGACTGATGAGCTATGGGACTTGCTCCCTATCCCTACGAAAATCCGCCTTCTCACACTTCCTTTCGCAAGTTCCATCTCTGCTGGCGGAGCAATAAAAACGCTAAAGGGAAGGTCACCCCGAAAAAAATAAACCAGTATGGGTATGAGTGGGCCTCAAAACTTACTACCACAAGCGAGTCGAGCGTTGACGGCGAATCTCGCCACCGATTCTGATCGGGTGAAAGCCCCGATAGTCCGGTGCCGGCCGCTCATGGATTTTGGGGGAGCCAAGCCTCACAAGTGTGTCTGGGAAGATTGAATAGGAGAGTGAAGTTTCGGGAGTTGGGAAAAAGATCGGGATCTCCTGCATTTTGTCCCTGCCAAGGACTAATGTCCACGGTGAGATAAAGCGTGTATGGTCAGTTCCATCCGATTCTGACTTATGTTGAGATGGTGCATGGAGGAATCCACTATCTTAATTAGCTTGAAGACAGTTGAAGCGCGGGAGACGCCAGAACTACCTTCAACATGGGGTGTCGATCTGAAAATACTGATGTTATGCAAGGGCCCTCGACCGACGGTAGCAGCCTACGGGGAACAATGTGAATTGGCGCGACAGACTGTTGAGGCCACGGACACGGACTCGGCGCTGACGTCGGGTGTTAGCCGCGAATTTCTGATGAATCGTGGTAGT